GAAATAACAGATTTCTTCATTGAAGTTGATGAAATTAGTGTCATAAAAGGCATAGGTTATTTTGTTCGATTTTTAACTGAACATAATCTGCCAGTTTGATTCTGCCATAACAAAAGAAAAACAAAAAAAATTTAGCTGCAGCCACACCAAAAATTTGGGAAGTGTGAAAACTCTTGTAGAAAGTACTGTTGTTAGTATTGTAAATTAAGTATACAATACATCATTTGCTCTAATTACAGATGATAATAATGATAGAAAACTGTACCTTTTGATTATGGCATATTGTAGCAAAGAAAAAGAAGTGATAATTACTTCATTGATTTGTATTTTAGAATTCAGGAATAATACTGGAGAAGGTATTTTAATTGTATAAATGAATACTTTATAAGCAAAGATTTAAAGTGGAAAAATTGCTTATTATTTTTATCAGGCAGTGCTGGTAATATGTAGGGAAAATTTAAAGGTGTAGCATCATTTATCAAAATTCATCAACCAGATATAGTCATCCGAGGTTGCCCATACCACTTCTTGCATATAGCTGTAAAAAACGCTACGGAAAAATTAATTGGCTCAGCAATGAACATGTTAGTAAATATATATTTTTATATAGGAAAAGTTCAAAACTCAAGCACGGCTTCAAGCTTGCTCAACAAATTTTGGGACAGAATGCAGAATCTCATAAAATTTTGAAACACTGCGGTACGAGATGGCTCTCTCTTTTAGAGTCTATTACAAGATGTTTGGAGCAATGGGATGCTCTGATTGATATTTTTTTGGTGGTAAATCAAATAACAGTGATAATGAAAGAAAGAGATTGTAAAGCATTAAAAAAGAGTTATATTCACCTACCACCAAATTGTATTTATTATGTTTGAAGAATAAATTTTATCTTTGTTAACAGTGAGCTATAACAGTAAATATTAACTTGCAACAATAAGCTTCTTATATACATAAATTGAGAAGAGAACTTGTTGAACTTTTAATGAATTGGTAGATTTTATAAAACCATCAGTAATTTCTAAAGGAAATGCAGACGTTTCTCAGACATCTGTTACATTTCAAAAGTGTAATAATCAAAAAGAGAATGAAAATTTAGTGATTGGTGCAGAAACAAGATTGATTGCCAAGATGAATAAAAGTGAAATTTAATTATTTTCAATTTTGTGTGAGTCTCTTGTAACTGCATGCTCTCGTATATAATAGATAAATTTCCTCTAAATGATCCATTTCTGAAACATGCCGAAGCTGCTGACATTAACTTCATAACTAAAGTTTAATTTTCCTATGTTCATTTCTTGCTAAATACTTTCCCATCTATTATTGGTGAAAAAGATCTTAATCAAGTGGAAATTGAGTTTTCTATGTATCAAGTAGATAATTCGAAAGAAGTTGCAGTGTTATGTATTGATATTGGGTTGGAGCATAAGTAATAGCCGTTTATGTTGTGTTTAAAATCACGCGGTAATAATAAAATGTATTGGCATAATGTTTTGTGTTATTCAAAAGAGAGTCTTTCCCTCTACAAGATGCCGTATTTGATTTTTTTGTCTGAGCTAATTTTTGTTATTTTTCAGATCATTAAAATGAAGTGTCAAGTTAACAAAAATAAGCATTTTCAACACCCACCTTCTTTTTGCATTTAATCGAGGCTCCAATGCTGAGAAGCAGCCTGAGGTTTTTGTGAAGTGTATGGTGCAATGCCTGAACGAACTGCAAGAAATTAGTTTGCCAGATTCAAAAATAGAAATTTCGCCCTCGAAGATGCTGCTCGTTCCGATGACCAATGAGTTTGGTGAAGAGCGTTTGAATCAACTTCTGCACGAAGACGCGTGTCAAACCATTTGAGAATCAGCCGAATGAATGGGCTGTAGCCAAGTGACTATAGTTCAACATCTTGGGTCTATGGGGAAAGTACAAAAACTCGGCTATTATTGACTAATTTATTGTTTTGTTAAAATAAAACTTTTAAATTAAAAAAGGCCATTACTTATGCTTCAACCCAATATACATAACATGGGGAAAAATTGCAGAATTAAAAGATATGAATGGGTGCATGAAGTACAAAGTATTGCATATTTTAATACTTGCTGCATTAATAATACCTCATTCAAATGCAGCTTGCAAAAGAACTGCATGCATTTTTATAATAAAAAAAAAAAAAAAAAAAAAAAAAACAGACAGAATTTTGACCAAATTTAGGTAAGAAAACACTTGAAGCAGTTCTGATTGAAAAGGTAAACATGCAGGCAGAACTGTGTTGCAAAAAAAAAAAAAATTCTCTAATTCAGGATTTAAGCTTGCTATGCATGCTACATATGAATGTTCGCATTCATAATTTAAAGTATTTTTTTATAATTATATGTGTTATTCTTATGTATCTCTCTCTCTATATTTTTAAAATTTTAGTCCTTATAGAAATCAGAATCAGAAACCTCATAAAGATATAGGATTTATGGATTCTGGTTTCCTGTATGATTATTAGTGATTTAAAACTATTTGCCTGTATAATATATTGGTAGGTTTAGTGATATTTGTACTTGAGGAATAAAATGAAAATTTCTGATTAAATATGCATATAATTTACAAGAAAAGTTTTAATTATTCAGTTTTTATATACCGGGTGGCCATAATTAAACTGACAGTGCTCACAGTGTTCTGTAGCGCAATCTATTTGCGAGAATGGCACCACATTTTGTAGGAAGATTAAACAAGACGGGGGGACGAAGGATTCCGCGAAAAAAATTAGTTCCAAAATTCACCACTAGGGGAATATTTGGCGCTGTGTAATAGAAAATAGAGTGTTAACAAATGCAAATTAATACGGAATAAAATTACTTTTTATTATGGATATGCCTTACAGTACGATATGGAAAATCTTACGAAAGATTATCAACTTCTATCCGTACAAGATCAGCCATGTACAGGAATTACTGTATCCCAACCATGATAAGTGATTGACTTTTGCTTTCACCTTCCTTGCCAGAATGGAGGTGGATGATGCTTGGCCGTGATGGATGATCTTATGGGGAGACGAGACCCACTTTTACCTGAATGGAACTGTGAATACCCAGAACTGCCGAACTTGGGATGACAAATCACCACATGCAGTCACAGCAATTCCCTTACATTCACCAAAGGTAACTGTTTGGTGTGGGTTCACAGCGGAATTTATCGTAGGTCCATTCTTCTATGAGAACATTACCCCGACAGGACCGGAAACCTGTTCTGTTACCGGAGAGAAATATCGCCACATGTTGAACAGCTTTGTTATTCCGGCACTTCAGCAAAGACAGTGCCTGGGGGGAAATCATTTTCATGCAAGATGGAGCCCCTCCACACGTTGCTGTATGGGTGTAAAGATGCTACAACAGAAATTCACAACAGAAAGAGGCATTAGCCGCTACTTTCCAACTGCATGGCCATCTCGGTCGCCTGATCTTACCCCATACGACTTCTGGCTATGGGGTTACCTTGAGTCCAAGGTCTATCAAGGAGTGGTCCAGGACCTGGCTACGTTGAAGGATAACATATCACGGACTGTACGGGAGATTCCTGCAGACATGTTACTTTCTGCTGTTGTGCATACTGTGCACAGAATGCAATATGTGGTCCACAACAACGGCAGCCACATTGAACCTCATTTGAATGCAAAATAAAAGGTAATTTCCGTATTGATTTGCATTTGTTAACACTCTATTTTCTATTACACAGCGCCAAATATTCCCCTAGCGGTGACTTTTGGAACTAATTTTTTTTTTCGCAGAATCCTTCGTCCCCCGTCTTGTTTAATCTTCCTACAAAATGTGGCGTCATTCTCGCAAATAGATCGCGCTACAGAATACTGTGAGCACTGTCAGTTTAATTATGGCCTCCCATTATATATTCGGATTTGAAGTTAAATGTAATTAAATTGATTGTGGTTAATGCTTAATTAAAAAAATATGCCTTACATAAGACTGACCTACTGACAAGTTTTGCTGTAGATTGAAATTTATGTGTACTGTCTCGTTTTGGTTTTTATTTTATGATCTTTTTCCATTTGTGTTCTAGTCAGTTTTTGTTATCTGCAGTAATTTTTTAATTTGCAGTTTTAGTTTTCTGGGGTTATTTATTTATTTAATTTTGGTTCTAGTATTATTCTACGGTATTTATTTTTGCTGTTTGGTGAAGAATATGAATTTAAGAATTCATTTGTACAATTTATATACTATATATGTAAGATAGAAATATGTAAAACAAACTTATAATTTTTCTTGGCAGTTGTCCCTTAACATTGGAATTTAATTTGGATATTTTTCCTTCCATCCTTTTCATAACAATGTCATGGCTAATTTCAAACTTAAAGTCAAAATTTGCAAACCAAAGTATTTCTCTTTTGAACTAAGCCTCCATATTGTATAATTGCTTCCAGCTTCTTTTGCTAATAATAAGGTGCTGCTGTCTTCTTACCACATTATCAATAATGTAAATGTTATGTCCTGGAACAACCACAATCAGTATGCCAAGTTATTTGTGGTCACAATTGTCAATATAAAAAGGAATATTTAAGCCTGCCTCAGCTGTGAAAATTGTTCTTCATAATGCATCATCTAAATTATTATCTGTTTTCAATGAATCTGCATATTACACACATTTATATGAAAATACAAAAAAAACTTCATATGGATTATTTTGTAGTAAGTTAAGCTTAAATTTTTTAAACATCTACATTCAAGATTTCTTTTGATCCATTGAAGAGTAACAAAAATTGTATGCATAATTTTAACATAAATGAGAAAGTACATGATGATAATTCAGAGCAGAATTAAACATTGCATTACCAGAAAAATTGAAACAAGTCTACAGAAATTTGTAAAGTAAATCTTTTGCCATTTTTTTCGAATATTTTTCAGTGCTTTGTATTTAATGTAGTAATGTATTATTTTGGTTAATAGATGTTAACACTGTTTGTTATCTTGTAATGATACGCAAATCAGTTTAACTGAAAATTTCTCTTCCAGACAAAGAAGTATGCTGATGTCATTATTCCTAGAGGAGCTGATAATGAAGGTAAGCATATATGTTAGTTTTATTTATTTATTGCACTGTATATACTTTCAAAGATAAAGAAGGGTGTATTCAAGCAAACTAAATTAAAATACGTATATTATATGTATGTATCTATAAAACATATGTTCTTCCCTCTTTGACTTCAAAGGTTCTTGGCATTATTAACATAATTTATGGACACGGTATAAAAATTGCATTTACTCCATTCTTTTATACTGAATTGGATATATTAATATTATTTCTATACCCAATTTTTTATTAGTTTTTTATCTATAAAGCATATGCTCTTCCCTCTTTGACTTCAAAGGTTCTTGGCATTATTAACATGATTTATGGACACGGTATAAAAATTGCATTTACTCCATTCTTTTATACTGAATTGGATATATTAATATTATTTCTATACCCAATTTTTTATTAGTTTTTTATTATTCAAACTTCAAAATAGCATCATTTCTGGTATTATTATTATTATTATTATTCAAACTTCAAAATGGCATCATTTCTGGTTTAAAATAGGTTTAAAAATAAGCTGTATATGTTTAATGCGGTTATGATAACTTCTTTTATGTAAGACCTGAATGAAAATTTTTTTATTGTTGTCAATTTAATACTTATTTGTACATATATATATAGGGTGATTTGCTTAAGTGTATCAAGGTGGAATAAGTTACTCAAAGATGATTTGGAATTACAAAGCAGTTTTTGGGCAGGAACACAATTCTCATGTGCATAAAAGGAAAATAATAATAATAATAATAATAAAAATGAAGAAGAGAGTGATGCAATAATCAGCAAATTGTTACAGTTAAAATATTCGTAAGCACAGTAAGTGCTAAGTTACACTTGCCAACTATGATACATGCCTAACACTGGTGCAGCATAGAATCCCGAACTTTTTGGAATAGAACAGGAGTCTTGTGGATTATCATGCTAGCTAAGCTGATGCATGCAACAAGATTCTCCTCATCTTGTTGAGGTGAGTGAGTGAGTGAGTGCACCGCTATGATGGCTTCCGACCACGGACATGAACCAAACGGAATTATATACCATCACGGCGGGGAAGACTCCAGAGTAACAAGGTTGAATATTATAAACTAATAACAGTTTTTACATATTGTTAACTGCAAGGCACTAAGCGTTATTCTGGTTATCTGCTTTAAGTTCTGAACTTTTGAAACATTATAACACGGTTGTTTCTGCTTAGGCAGTGTCCTGAGATTTTTTCTATTTTATCAAGGGCTATTCTGTTTTTGAGTGTGTTAGTCGTCCACATTGCCCAGGCACAGTCCGCTGGTTTCTTCAAGTGCCAGGTTCTTGTATGTACACAATGGAAGTAATAATGGTCCGTGTCGCCTTCCTCTCCGCATTCGCAGAAAGGAGTATCCCTAAGTCTGAATCTGTTCAGGTATACTGGGAATGGTCCATGACCTGTCAAGAACTGTGTTAGGCTAGCACAGTGGGTCTTTATTTCCATGTTAACTTTTGGCAGTAAGCGAAATGACCTTCGTCCTACCTCTGCCTCTGTCCATCTACTTTGCCAATTTTGTAGCAGACTTGTCAAAGTTGTTCGCTTAATATGAGACCAAGGAAGTTTAGTTGGTCTTTCTAATATATCCGTGCAATTGGCTGCCTGCTTGGCCAGTAGGTCAGCGGCTTCATTGCCTTGAATCCCTGTGTGAGCGGGAACCCATTTTAAAGTGGGTCTTTGCGAAATAGGCATTGTCAGAAGCTGTTTCTGAATTCTGTATACCAATGGACTCCGGCTGTTTTGACTTGCGATAGCCGCCAGACTTGATGCTGAATCACTGAGTATGGAGAATTTCTCCTGTTGACATGTGTTCGCATATCTAATTGCAGCACTGATAGCTAGAAGCTCTGCTTGGTATACCGAGTTGTTTGAGCCTAATTTCCTTTTCCACTCGAATGTTACAACTCCATTTTCTAGTCTACAAAAGGCGCTGCCCGTGCCGTTCTCAGTTTTGGAGCCATCTGTGAAAAGGTTATTACCGTACCTCTGAATTGGTTGGTCGTTTATACTGATACCGTCAGAGAGATTAAAAGCTGCTGGATGAAAGTTATTGCAGTTGTTTTGCTCCTCGTAGTCCGAGTGGTGATAACTATGACCCCAGAGTGTTGAAGTTTGACCCAGCCTGGTAACCCTTACGATAGCTGCCTCCCTTTCTACTATCAAATCTAGGGGAGGAATTCCTGCTAGTTGTTGTAGGGCTAGTGTTGACGTGGTACGGTAGGCCCTGCATACTTGAAGTAGCTGCTGTCTTTGAATAGAGAGCAGGGATCTTTTCATATGAGAGGTAAGTTCGCCACCCCAGATTGCTGCTCCATAAGCTATTACTCTTTCTGTAATGGTTCTATGCCAAATTTTTAGTAGCTTAGATGAGATACCCCATTTATGTGAAGTCATGCGTCTCATGTTGTTGCTTAGGATGCTAATTCGAGTCTTAAGATTCCTGACATGTGGCATCCAAGAAAGTCTGTTGTCGAGTAATAGCCCAAGATATTTCAATTGGGGGAAACATTTGGAAACATTTTACCGGTATCCCATGGAGTTTAATGCTTGGGTTTACGTCTTAGCTGCCTGCTACGTCCTATGAGCAAAAGCTTTAGTTTTCTCTCTGCCGAAATCTGAAGCTTATGTGCTCTGGCCCATTGGGAGAACAGATCAAGACAGTATTGAGATCTCATTTCGAGGTTACTCCTTCCTGCCACAACTAGCATAAAAATCGTCCGCATAGGCTATGATTCGAGCGTATTCTACGCTCTCAAACTGACGAAATGCCGAGTTTGCCATTGCCACTATATTCCACAGTGTTGGTCCAAGGCATGACACCTGTGGGCATCCTCTAAAGACATTTTTGACATAAATGCCGCTGTCTGATGTTACTTGTACACTTCGATCTTGAAGGTACGAGCGAAGGATGGTAATAATGGCTGTTGTTGGCAGGCCATGTTGTACAGCAAATTTATTACGTCTGGCCACCAAAGGAGTCAAAGGCTCCCTTGATGTCAATGGCTATTGCCAGTGAGTGCAAATTGTTATCCTTGTTCTGTTTGATAGTGGCCATTAAGTCTTTTATGGCATGTTCAGTAGAGTTGCCCATTCGGAATCCATATTGGTTGGGATGCAGGGCGTTGTTCCTTTGCAGGAAGAAGTCCAATCTGTAAAGAATTACTCTTTCCAATACCTTACCGAGCGCTGGTAGTAGACAGACTGGCCTGTAAGATGTAGGTTCTGCCGGAGTTTTGCCTGATTTTAGGAATAACGCTACTTCTGCCCACTTCATATTTTTAGGAAAGTACTGATGTTTCCAGCAAGCTGAAAATGACCGCAAGGAATAGTTTTGGGAATTCCCGGTGTATCTCTCTAATGATGATATTATCAATTCCATCCGGACCTGGAGCTTTTTTGGGTGCCAGAGTACGTATGATGTTATCCACTTCCATTTGCGTAGGAGGGAGTTCGTCTCTTCTGGTAACTTGGCGAAATTTCATACTGTAGGTTTTTTCTCGCTTCCTCTTGCTCCTCTAAGAAATCCTCTTCATCATCATCAGGAAAAAAAAACTGCATTTATGATCTCACTGATTACTTCGATGTTGGATGAGGCAGTGCTATTCACCATAGGCGAAAGGGTCGTAGGACGAAACACCTTGTTACATGTTATCTTTTGAGCAGGTCCAAAGGCTTTGGTGACAGTACTACAGCAAGTTCTCCATGAGATTAACTTGGACTCTTTAATTTTTCTTTTATACAAAGCTCTGGCTTTGTTGTATGTTATCATTTTGAGTTGCCGTAGATATGGATCTACCGTGGATTGTGCTTTTCTGCGAAGTGCTCGAACTCTGCTCTCTCTCTGTGTTAAGCTCTGGTGACCACCAGGATATCGGAGTGTTTTGCCTTTACAGATTTCAAACGATATGCTTTGTGGGCGGCTTGCTGCACTATTTTTGTAACTAGTAAGTCGTAGAGATTATCTAAGGAGTTTCTGTCCTGGCAGTTGTTGAAATCTTTGATAAATTTCTCTACATGCGCTTCGAATGTGTTCCCGTAAAAAATGGAATGTCCTCCAAATGCCGTTTTGAATCTTTTCTTTATTATGTAGTCTATAGGAATATCCAGCCTGTAAGTAATAATTTTTGTGATCACTGAGTGACGGCAGGTCACTCACTGTCCAATCTTGTATGTACGGAGTTGTATTGGGAGTTGATATGTTTAGATCTGGCCACCCTTGAGCTCTAGATGTTTCAAAGGTAGGCGGTGAGTCCTGAGCGTTGATGACAATGAAATGCTTACTGTCTAAGAATTCGAGTAGTACCGCAATTCCCCTTCGGTTCTCCGAGTCAGCACCCCATAGTTGACTGGTGGCGTTAAAGTCTCCTGCTATGATACAGTGTGATGCCCCAGTTAGAAGGTTAGAATTAAGTTCCTCTAATAGAGAAATAATATCTTCGCTCGGGGGTAGATACACAGCAATAATATCAATGCTGCAATTACTAGTGTCTAGTCAGTCTGATGGAGACTGTATGCTCTGTGATTTTCATTAGGAGGGGAGGGGAGAGGGCCACTGCCACTGTAAATAATAGCAGCTAGCTGATTCTTTGAGAGAAACGTTCTGCTGTGTGTTGGAACACTAGGAATCACTCCGTTGAAAACGTATGGCTCTTGGAAGATTCCGACATTGGCAGCAGTATGTGTCATTACTTGCAGCGTATTTATGGTTGCTGCATAGCACTTCTGCAAGTTACACTGTAAAAATCGAAGACCTGCTATATGTTTGTTTAGTGTCGTGTCATCTTGGTTTAGTTCTTTGCAGTGGTCCTTCTCAGACTCTCGAAATGGGCTCCATACACTGGGCAGGAACTTGAAGTAGTTGGGTGATCTGTGCTGAAAGAGGTCCCCTTTTCAGAATTACTACTGCAGCAATTAGTGCAACTCACTTTTTTTCCGAGCTACACTCCTGCGTCGGGTGGTGGCTGTTACC